AAAAACATGCTGCATAAAAACAAGCCAACATCATGCAAATCTGTGACTCTGAACCAGAGCTCGACCGATGATCCATCTGACTGATGATCAGGTCTGACATTCTCATTTTTTCAATTATCTGCTTTTTTTTTAAAAAAAGGGCAAATATTGATAAAATAAATACACTGAAAAGCGTATTACTCTGACTCTATCTGTAGCTGGAGTCTCATATTCTAAATTTTGACACCAAGATCTTAACTTTTACTGCAAACAGGGTGATCGGTTTCCTGGATAAACAACAACAACAAAGCACGAGTTAACAGAACAAAGAACCGGTGATGACACACATACACCCCACATGCAATAAAAGGTCGCCTGCAGCCTGCAGCTTAACAGCACAACAGAAATGGGAAAGAAAACCACAATAAAAAGACAAATTGACAGGCAATAAATGGTGAGTCACAAAGCAGAACAATCTCGCTCATGTTGTGCTTATTCCAAAAAAGGCCTCAACAGAACCGGAGCGGTGTCACGGGGCAGCATTCCTGACGGCAGCGAGCCCGTTGCTGGGACAGCTCCTGCTTTAAACACACTCTCACACACACTTAGGATGACGCCACGTTGGGACTGAAGGCGTCGGGCAGCTGCTGCTAACAAACATCCTTTTTTTTAACGATATTCTCCAGACGATTTAAATACGCGTGATTAAATTGCCAAATGCCACAAGCTCATCTATGACCTGAGTGGGTAGATTCGCTGTAGAAATATTAGAAAACATGCTGAAATTAGGCAGTTTTACGACCAGATTAGAACTCCCAGATGACAAATAAAAGAGATATATGGCGCCGCTGCTCCCACGGCAGCTCCACTGTTGTCTCCCTCACAAACAACTGGATGTAAATCAGTCTCTCTCCATTTCTTTAGGGCTATTGTACACAATTGCACAAAGACAATTCTAAGATGAGTCAAACCACATCTTTAATCCAACATAGCTAGCAGTGAGTTCAACCCGAGACATTTAGCGAAGAATGCACGTCTCCCTCCTATAATTGTCTTATTGTTGAACAATTCCCAGACCAGTTTTCAGAAACCTTTGTTCCTCTGCTTTCACATGCCATTTAAACCGACGCGGGAACACAGTATAGCGTTTATGGCGCCTTTTGTTCGGGGGGAAATGAAATGACGTAGAGAGTCCTAAGTGACGAGCTCGTCTCTTGGCTGGTGAGAAGAAAATTACTCAGCTCAGCCCATTGATAAGGAAAGAAAGCTCTTAAATATTTAAGCAAAATGAGGACAAAGAGAGATTACTTCTATTGAACGACTCCAACGACTGAATTTTTAGGAGAGCTTGGTCTAAAAATGTCACACATCAGTCTGTCTTGTCTTTTTCTACCTTCTATTTTGCCCTCGTGTGGGGATAATAGTTAATTTAATTGACATGTTCTCATTGGATGACATTGCGATAACAACGTTGGTGTGCAGCATCACCGTGGCCATCTCACTTCTGTTTCAAACCAACATCAGTGGATAGAGAACCATAACCTTTCCCTGACTTCTTGATAACATTCGGTAGAGCAGACCTGTGTGAATGAGATGGTACACCTACTTCCCCCACCTGCCGGCTTGTTCTCTGAGAGTCTGCAGTAACATCTTGACCTCGGCTCTCAGCAGCTCTTTCACAGCGGGAGGGTCGGTCAGAGGGAAGCCCTGCAGTCGTGTGAACGTGGTCCCTGCTCCTCCGCCGTCGTTTCCACCTTGCTGGCTCTTCTGCCATATCTTGTGCCACATCTCCGCCTGCAGAAAGGACAACCAGAGGTCAGACATAACCTTCAGAGATGGGCTTTACACACGCAGGAGATGTTGTTCAGAAATACTACGAAATAATACATAACTGCATCGATGTCTACAAGCAAACCATGAGTAAACGGTTCTTCTAGAGCAGAGTGCAGCAAGTTGAAACGGTGATGTTCTGTCTTGCAGGTGTAGGAATCCATCTTCAGTTGTCTGCTTGCACCGATGTCGATTCGCACTAAAACACACTAAACGTCATGTGTAATCACACTATTGACCCAAATGGTCTATACTTATGGGATTCCTGCTGCCTAGTTACTGTCGAGGAAATCTGTAATTACTTCATTCAAGTATGGAACGCAAGGTGTCTCAGTGGTTAGCACCGTCGCCTCACAGCTAGAAGGTCGCCGGTTCATGTCCCGGTGAGGACACCCGGGATCTTTCTGCGTGGAGTCTCCATGTTCTCCCCGTGCAGCGTGGGTTCTCTCCGGGTTCTCCGGCTTCCTCCCACAGTCCAGAAACATGCTGAGGTTAATTGGTGATTGTAAATTGTCCGTAGGTGTGAATGTGAGTGTGCTTGGTTGTCTGTCTCTAAGTGTAGCCCTGTGATAGACTGGTTACCTGTCCAGGTGAACCTGCCTTCACCCTGAGTCAGCTGGGATAGACTCCAGCCCCCCATGACCCTGGTGAGGATAAAGCGGTATGTAGATAATGGATGGATGGATGAAAGGTATACTGTATATTTACTGTATATTTTCTGTTTTAAATAAAAATAGAAATCTGGAAATTATTCATGAAAAAATTATATTTCATTTATATGTTCAGAAGTCGATGCTGCAGTTTAACTGTTTCAGCGTTTCAGTGACTTCAGGGACCACGCAGCACCTTCTCTCCGTGTTCTCCTCACGTTCTGTTAGTGAAAATATCTTCAGGGCTGTCGAGACCTCGCTTAATGCAAACTGCTGCGAACAACTGTCTTTGTGGAGCGAGTCTTCAGTACGAGGGGACATGAAACGTCTGAGCACGCCCCACCATGTTAACATGCTTTCACGCTACACCGGCTGCAGAATTGGAGCTATACGTCTCAGGTCGGCCGTCGGAACAAGCAGCCCTGTGTGCAGAGAGAGCAGGCAGCCTCTCAGTCTCTGGGAGTGTGAGCGTCTCGGCGAAGTCTGGATCCCATTAACACCTCCACACCTGCTGCCTGCCAATCACGCCTGTCATGTTGCAGTCAAACACTTCACTTCAAAGGAACACGCTGGAGGATACTAAACACAGTACTCCTGGACTTTTACATGTGGCACGCCAGCGTTCACGTCGCACACGCCCACAGAAGCCGTTTCCACTCACGCTGGCTTCCTCCGTGTGTTTTGGGCCGTCGAGGTGTTTATGTTACAGGATTCGTGGCGTACAGACTAACGAGTTGCCCCTGGACTTGTTTCCTCCTCTCCTGCTAAGAGGCTGCTGATCTCATCCAGGAGCTATTTTAAGGCAGCACTGCTGAAACATGTCAGTTTAAAAACCTTGAGCTATTAGGTTGAAATATTTAAATGTGGGTTTAGAATACATTTAACTGAAAGGGCTCATTTTCATTCAGCTCAGAGAGAAAGAGTGAGAGTTTAGGAGGAGGCACGGGGAGATTAGCCTTGTAGACTTGAAAAGAGAGTCTAATATTTCCTCTGATCTCGCCGCCGTAGACAATGAGGACCTTGATGGAGGGAGGAATGGCAGTATTGAGGAATGGAGGAGCTGTCTGCAGATCTACTATTACTTTCACAGTGGCTCGCTGAGGGATGGAATTCATTACATGGCTGCAAGAGAAACAGACAAAGACAGGAAAGAGAAATATGTGGAGATAGGCAGACAAGGAGAGAACAAAATGAGAAAAGGAAGCGATCCATCCTACAGTAAATGTAATAACTGAGGAAAAACCTGCCTGTGCTGGTGTGAGCGCTGAATAAGGCGCTCTGTGCTTTGTTTTTTTTTTCCAGGAAATTTCTCAAAGCTCTCAGCCTAAGTCTTTCTTTCCGTCTGGAGGCTTTACAATCAGCCGCCGCGTTCGCTGAAGAAACGTCGCAGCAATACTGAAAGTCACGCACACACACACACACATGCACACATGTACGGGCACCGAACACACGCATGCCAACACGCACACACACACACAGCGGAGTCAAAGAATATGTGTTGCTAACAGTCTTATCAACAGTTGAGGATTAGCCTCCTTAACCCTGTTATACCGACCCCCTGACTCGCTAAGCCCGCTGGGCCTCTTTCTGTCTGCGTACAGTGTGTGTGTGTGTGTGTGTGTGTGAGCTCCAATATTCTGCACCAACCATCTGCATTTTTGTTTTGATGTTTCTCTAACTCGTGCTCTGAAGCCAGTTGTCGTGTAAAAAGGCATTTATTTAACCGTGAACCGAGCATGTTCGAGTCCTTGACGGTCCGTGTGAGAAAAGGGGAGCATGGCGTGTATTCACCCGAAAATTAGGACTTGTATGTCACGTGTGGCTTTCACATGCAAGCTGCCACACAACTACTACGTGGTCAGCCCCTGCATGGCTCGAGACAAACTATGCCCAGGTGTCTTTCTGCAAACAGTCACAGGCGCTGCAGGAAGACGAGAGCCGATCCACAGATGGACAGATCTCAGCCCGAGCAAACAGAACAGGAGAGGAGAGAAGAAGACTGGAGAGCAGTAAAGCAAAGAAGAAAGTTACAGAGGGGGAGATGTGGTGGTGAGTAAGGACGGTGTGAGACTCTGTACATCCATCACAGAGTGGTGTTGAGGTGAGTTCTTTGTGTTCCTGTGAACTAAGACCAGCTCTCTTACATAAGTCAGCTGTAGAGGAATGTTCCCTCAGCAGACCGGGCTTCGTGTATTCACATTTAGCTTTAAGCTGAACCACTAAAGAATGTTTAATGCACTGTGGTGTTTTCAGTTTCATTTAGTCTGTAGCTACTTCCACAGTCGCTGGAGAGGCCGAGGATGGGTTCTGTATAAATGTGTGATGTGCTGTCGCTTCCTAAACAACGCACAAAGATCAGATGTGTTTCTCTCCTTTTATAAAAGTGATCTGTGATTTGCAGGCGTTACACAGCACTGGGCAGGATGTAGGCGACGGTAAACTAATCAGAAAAAATAAAGACACTATACTTAGCGTTAGTCACTCAAGCGTGGCGGTCAACGAAAACGACGGCTACCCAGCCCTCCTCTCTCTGGCAAGACCACCGCATGACTGACTGTCAGCCCTTCTGACAGCTCAACCTGTCACCAACTACACCCACATCACCATGACAACCACATAAACAAACCACCAACCCAGTGATCAATACTCAGAAACATCTGGGGCTCCTACATAGTGATTGAATGAATGAGCGAGAAGGCAACACATTGGTTTGCAAGTATTCTGATAATAGTTATAATCACTAAAGTTATTTGTATTTATTGTTCTTGTTAATATGAATTGAATATCTTCAGTTAAATGTCTTCAGGACGAAACTAAAGTTTAAATAATATATAAATAAATTTCTTTATTCCGCTCAGATATTCATGATTTCTCACATTCTCGTGGAGTCATCCTGTTTTTTTTTTAATGTTTCAGTCAGAGTTTTCTCTTCATCTTTTCCTCTTCAAATTAACATTTTCTCCTCAGTCTTGACTTTTGGCCTTTCTAATGACTTGTGTGCATTTCCACTTTGCTCAGGTTCTGCTCATTGACCCTGCAGCTCTGTCTTGTACGAGGTCGTCCTGCTGGAGCCGAGCGCTTCCATGCGAGGGGCTTTGGGGCCGAGAGTTTAGCTGGTCTTGGGTAAATATTGATGTCTGTCTGGCTCACATTTGGACTTCATCGCAGCACGGTGCCAGTTAACCCACATTTCACTTTTATCATGGAGTCTGGGAACCCTAATTAATGAATGCATGCAGCCAAAGTAACCTACTTACACAGCCTTAAAACAGCGTTCTCAAATTGTTCAGCCAGGAATGCTTAACTGAGCATTTTTTTTGATTCGCCCTGACCAAAAGGAAATACTTGCGGTGGTATTCTTGTGGAATCCCAATAGAAACAGACCCAATGTCTGAATTCCTTGAAGGAATAAAACCGTCAGTGTGAAGAAAACAAAGCACATGAATGATGAAGCAGCTTTATCTGCTGAATCTGAAGAGGAATGTTCCAACCTACAAGCCAGATACTGTAGAAGAGATCAAACACTGGAGCCATAAAACTCTCTCTCACCTCAGCGTGCACCTCGACGTACATGTCCACCAGCGAGTGGCCCAGTGCCCTGTGGATCTTGGGCAGCTCGGACTCAGACACACGTTCAGCGATCAGGCCCCACAGAGACTTTCTGGGGCCCCACAACTGGTCTCCATCAGGTGAATGCATATGACTGATAATCTGGGAGTGAAGGAGGAAAAACCCATTAACATACATTTTAGTCAGAGGAGGCTGACAGTCCACCAGCGCTGAAATCTAACTTAGTTCATGACTTCAAGTATAACTTAGAGCGAGCAGGGTGATCTCTTCAGGATTTTCATCCATCCATCTGTCCATCTGACCTCCCTGCATCTATATGGCAGCTGCAGTCATCCGTTAAACTGGCCTAACAGTGCTGATTAGGACAACAAAACCATTCTATTAGAGAACCGAGACAACACCTCAGATTAATCCATCAAACCTGATTATTATATATCATTGTTGATTTACCAACTAATTACTTTTGGACTGATTCAGAGTTCAAAACACAAAGACATTCAATTATTTTAACATCTGGTGAGCATCAGATTCCAACATTTGAATATTTTTTTTCCAAACTACTCAAATATCAAAATAATTGCTTAATTTTCTGGAGACTAATTGATTAAGTTCCTAACGGTTGTGGCAGTGGTCTGGTCTGTGCTTCAGTTTGGTATACTTTGAGTTAAATAACATTCGTATCTGTTAGCTTGACTTTAATGCCAGACTTCTGTGTGTTGCAGCGAACTACAGCCAACACCACCTGTGTTCTGGATGTTTCTTGTTCACCTGCTTCTGACCAGAACTTGAAGTGTTTTCAGGTTTACGGCTAAACTACGTCCATCGTCGAGTAATCAGTTGATGTGACTAATCGATCAGCCGCTGGTCTATAAAATTACATATATATTCAGTATTTACTGCTGAGAAAGCAGAAAGAAATCTTCTCAAGTCTTTATTTGAAGAACACAATTCTAAAAAGTATAAATTAGCAGCTAAACTAGTGCTAACGTTAGCTGTTGCGCTGCTAACGCTAAGCTAGCTGGTTAGCCGACTACCGGTAAAACGTGTGACCACCGCCAAACGTTCACAGAGCGCATTTCTAACGCGGATAAAACGATAGAGTGTTTGTGCAAAAGACCACAGAGGATTACAAACATGCGTGTCGCCACCGAGAAACTAACCTTAATTGGCCCCTGGTGCCGGTATTTACCGATGGTCTGGTATCTAGGAGAAACAGTGCGGTTGCTATGGGGAGATATCGCGAGATTGAGAGGAACTGTCAACCGTGAGACTTTCTAGAAACCGTAGTTTATACATCCCATCCTAGCTTGACGTTTTATTAAAACGCAGAGCTATGAAATACAACAATGTAAGGACGTAAGCTGACCATTCAATGTTTTTTCTCTTTAGTGAAAATAAATGATTAGTTTTCCGACGCGGAGCTGTGGACACCTGCGTCCTGGACCAGTCTGGACCAACGTGTGGGACGAGGGGAGGGACGGACTCAGCTGCTGCTGAACTCTGAGGAAAGCAGGGAACACAACTTTCCCTCTTTTTGCCCCCAGCCTCCACTCCCTTCCGGGCTCTGTGCAGACCGCTGTGGAGCAGCTCAGAGGGAACACGGAGGACGTCTGCGTTCAGGAACAATGTAAGAAACTTTTTTTTTGTAAACTTGGGTGATCTGCGCACCAAACCCCGGCAGGACTACGGTGGAGGTTTCATTTCACTGACGCTGCGTGCTAACTTTCTCTTCTGGACGAGCTGATTCACCAGGTACATCATGACAAAAGGTTTCAGTGCGCGCACAGTGCGCACGGCACTTTTGGCACTTGTGCTTTGCGCACAGGCAGGTTTGGGTTTCTCGGTGGCCGGGCAGCAGGAGAGCACCTGCGAGGCCAACGGCAGCATATACTACGTCGGTGAATGGTACTTTCTGGACTCGGATCACTGCACACAGTGTGAGTGCACCGCCGAGGGCTCCGCGTGTGCCCGCACCGAGTGCACCTCTCTTCCGGCTGCGTGCATCCATGTCAGCCACTACCCCACCGACTGCTGCCCCCGGTGCGAGAAGATCGGCTGTGAGTACCGAGGGGTGGTGTATGAGCTGGGGCAGAACTTCCAGGTGAGCCTGAAGACAGTGGCACAGACGAACCTCCTAAACGGAAATGCATGACCCTAAACTCTCCAATAAGAGTATTATAAGAAGTACATAAGAGACCAAGAGACCTGAAGTTCACACAGACCAGTGTTGAGCTGCTGCTGTGATGCATGTGCAGCTTTGTTCCTCTGCAAATTATCCAGAGTTTGGCTTTGGAGTTTCCACTCAGTGTAGTTCATAGATGCCGAATTATTCTAAATGACACTGTGGAATTCCTATAAAAGTCTTATTGGAAAGGCCTTATTGGAGTATTTAGGGTCATGCACTTCCTGTCCGTTTAGGAGGTGTCTGGTAAATGCACACGAGTGTATTTTTAAAGTTGAACTCCAGGACACAAGGCCTGTGATGTGTGTGTGCTACATCCAAATAAGCATTAGTCTGATTTTAGAGTGCGTTTAAATTCAAAGCCCTGAACCACAGGATGTTCTGTTGGTCTGTGGTGAATATCATGAACTGGAGGTAAATGGCGCCCCCTTTTGAGATGCATGAGGCTGGTCAGGATTATGGTTCTGTTACAGTTTACAGCATTTATCTACCTGCTCCCCTTAATATTCTAACTGCTACCATCAACGTTCTGAACTGATCCAAGCTGAGTGTGACAGATGGTGTGTTTTGCAGCCATCAGAATGTGAGCAGTGCACCTGTGACAGTGATGGCATCGCCCGCTGTCTAGTCGCAGACTGTGCTCCTCCACCGTGTGTCAACCCCGTCTACCAGCCTGGGAAATGCTGCCCTGAATGCAAGGAGGGTATGTTGAAATCCAGTTTCAAACAGAGCTGAGCCCACACAGAGGGCGTCTCAGAGATGCAACGTGACATTTATCTTCTTTTTAGTGTAAGCATCGTTTTCAAACATACTAATTTAGCGTTCACAATGGTCTTGTTTTGTTGATGATGTTTGGATTCGAATGCAGTTTATCATCTGCATGCAGGGATGAGTGTGTTTGCACAATACTGGCCGCTTGACTGCCTGTTTGTAGCTGTAATTACCTCTGCTTGCTTTCCTCCCTCCAGGTCCTAACTGCTACGCCGACGCCTCGCGCGGCCAAGTGATTCCCGCCGGAGAGCCCGTCTGGGTCGACTCCTGCACCAAGTGCCGCTGCCACGACGGCCAGGACGCCGGCTACTGGGAGGGAAACCGCCTCGCCACCTGTTCCCGCCTCAAGAACTGTAAACCTGAACAACCGTCCACCCAAAACTGATTCCCTCCGTCAGCACAGAACCAGCTGCTGTTCTAACAGTTTGACAGCCCATGTGCTGCACTCGTTCTGTTTCAGTCCTTCCTGTGGTGAAAATGATGCGTAAAGATCGTCTGCAACTGCAAAAAAAAAAGCAACTTTTTAGGGAAAAGCAACCAAAGAAATCTTTTAAGAACACAACCAGCTGTTAGCGAGGATCATTCATCCAACACGTTAATGCCTGAAAGTGGATCAATAGGAGCAGATCAGACTTCATGTCTGACTAGAGATGATGATTTTTAGTCCTTGAAAAACCAAAATTGGGTGAAGAAAACTATTTCCATTCAAGAATACGGTCTGCAGTAGAAGATGTTAGATTTACTGTGACCTGAAACACATCACCCCTTGTTCCTGATGTCTCTACTTCCACAGACTGTATGAATCCAACAGGAACATGAAAAAACAAACTTGACCCTTAAAAAGCGACTCTGCTCCAGATAGTTGACTTTTTATTTGTTCTGCTCGTCCGCGGTTTCTTCAGAAAGGTCGACTAAATCAATATGTTTTTAGCAAGAGAGAGAGTAGTGAGCTTTTCTAGACATTAGTTACCCAGGAGGTGTTCTACGCAGCATAACAAAGCCGTTGAGATTATTGGATGATAAGAAATTATAATTGACTTGTCACCGGTTGATGCAGTGCCAAAATGTGTGCACAGCTGTGATGCAATTAAGACTAGAGGATGGATGAGGAGGGCAATAAACTACTTTGTAAAACTTCTATAAATCTGCTCCTTCAGTTTCCGCGCTAATTGAAATGTAATGTACGAGAGGACGGCCTGACGTGTGACTGCTGTAGGTGCAGACACGGCCGATGTTTGACAGTAATTTCATTTAGTCGTGCTCGTGCACCGTAGAGCAGGACGGCAGTGTAAGCTGCTGCTTCATTAAATTTTCACAGGAGAGAATCTGCAGCCTGTAGAGCAACGAGCTCCTCTGTTGAAGTGAACAGTTGTCTGTTGCTGTAGATGTAGCATGAAGTATATTGTCATTTTATGTAGTTTTATACGCAGCAAGGCTTCTTTCAATAGTTTCTACCGCTTTGATCAGGAGGAACCTTGGATTTAAAACCAAAAGTAATCTCCACTTATACTTATGGCATTCCCATATAAGAGAACAAGTCACAGCTGGAATTCTCCCTTTTCTATGTAAGGTTTGCAATGAAACTTAGACTTCTGCAGTTATGAACCTGTTTTAAAATAAAATTACGTGTTTACCAGTCAGTTCAGCTCAAAGACTGGAAACGTGGAGGCAGCCGACCTGTTTCTGTTCAACAGCAACAAAATCCACCTGCTGGTAAACATCAGCTCCTCTGAGCTGCTGTCGGCTGCTTGATAACTGGCTCCAGGCACGAGTGCAGTTTAACCCTAATATAACGAGCATTTAAGTGGGAGTTTTTGGACAGATTCAGGCTGTTTCCAGTCTTCATGCAAAGCCACTTTAACCAGCAGTGTTTAATGCACAGACTTAAGAAAGTTTAGTTCCCAACATGTCTGCCTTTTCCTGCAAGTGTAGTTTTAATCCAGTGGCTGAAACAAAAGGGAAATGATGTAAACCACACATTCAGATCACATGTGAGATGCTGCTGTACGTCAGTCAGCTCTACCAAAACACGGTCCCAATTAAAACGTCGTTTTATACCCTTTAAACGTCTCTTGGTTTCTGTTTTTGCCCTGACTTCCATCGTTTTACCTGCTTCTGTCTGAGGAGACGCCCCTCCTTTCCTCTCTGCAGAGCTTTTCTGCTGACTGGTCAGAACCAGTAAAAAAAAAAAAGCAAATTTAAAAGAGGAAGAAAGACAGCGCTGCTATTGTGGCATCATCTTTCTAGTACAGGATGGAAGAGAAAAGAGAAAGGCTGGATTAGTGGGACCGCACAGCGACAACAGGTTGATGTGGGTTGTCATGGCAACGGGAGGCAGGGTTGCCATCGGCTGCCAACGTTGCATCAAGAAGCTCTGGATGAGCTCAGACTGCAGGTACACCATTCACCCATTGAACACACCGTCATACAATCTTTAACATCAGATTTATTGATTGTATAGAAAAAGTAGGTTTGATATGACGTAATGCATTCTATATAAGATATAACATTTTCAACATTCAATGTACAAAAACAAATAAACAAAACAAAAAAACTTAGCTAGAGGTACAGTAAAGTTTTAAAAACACCCACAGGCCGTTAAAGTCCTGTCTGCCGTCAGCAGCAGACGAGCAAAAAGTGTATTTGAAACAAACAGCTGGACCGGCGGAGGTGTGCTCGACAGCTGGGGCGGCGCCAGAGCTCAAAAGTCCAGTAAGAAACATCGAGCACTCCCCGTGGTTCTTCTCATGTAAAGGAAACATGTCAAACACTACTTCTGCTAAAGTTTCTGTAGCTGATTTTTACATCTTTAACCCATGTTACTGTTTATACACACTGGGGCTTTACGTCCTCCACTCGCTCCAATAACTGCTCTCCTTGATGAAGCTACGTTTTTAAAGAGACACTCCACCAACTTACAGCTCGGTTTACTCATCACGAGCAGCGCTGCTCACGTCCGCCGGCTCCAATAGTTCTGTATAGCTCTAAATACCCACGAGCCCCTGCTGCCACGGAGACGGAGCCGGTCGGAGCTGCCAATCAGCCGCTAAAAAATGGTTTGATTGTGGCTGAATTCGCTCACAATTGATACCGAAGTGAAATCATTGCAGCTGCAGAGGGTGAAATCAATTTTCTCAACAGGACAATCTGTCACCTCTGGAGCACCTAAACAGAACCTGAAGCCCACTGATTGGACCTTCTTTGCCAAACTCCACCTGGAAAGTTACTTTCTTCGACGACAAATCACGCGTTGGTTTAATCATGACTCAAACGAAGGCCCAACGTGTATCACTGTGGACTCATCTGTTCTAGGATCTCGTGTTTAAAGCTTGTCCAGTATTAGGGACGAAAAGTCAAGATGTCCCGGCGCGACTGCTCTGTCTGTCACCTCATGAAAGTAAAACATTCAGCTGCTGGAGTGCCCCTTTAATACTGCCATGAACAAAAACAACAGAGCTGCAGTGATGCTGTCTGTTGCTAGAAGGATCTCAAAGCATGTAGTAGAAGAAATAAAACCAGAAACTGCATTACAGACTGCAAAAAAAACCCAAAAACATCCCCAAGCAGTGACTTAAAGGCAGGATATGTGGACGATGGGAATGAAGCTGTGGTATTGCACAGGGTGAGCTGTAAACACTTTAGAGAACGGCTTGTATTGACCTCTCCGTGTGTCGCCTGCCGACTGAAGACACCGAAACCCAGCGGGGGGGAGGAGGGGAAAAAAGATCAAAATACAGAGAGGAGGGAGAGTGACAAGGAAAATGACGGAGTGATGAAGTGGAGAGAGGCTGATAAAGGAGGAGGATTCACGAACGGCGATGTGTGGCGAGCGGAGGGAGAATAGACAGAAACATAAAGACACAGTAAGTGGAGGAGATTCAGGGACACAAAGAGCGGCGCAGTCGATATCTATTGAAAGACGGAGCGCTCTTGTGAGGCACAGCTGTGCTTGAAGAGGGTCCACCGCCGAGCACGACGGCGCGCCATCGACAAGCGCAGCCCGGACTGGCAGCGTGAGAAAGAAAAAGGCAATGAAAGGGGAGATAATGCAGGAACGGGGAGCCGAGGAGTGGAGCGATCGCACCTTCCAACAGCCTCGAGGCGACGATAACGCAGAGCCAAACAGATGGGGACATGTCCGCCTTAAGGCTGACCAAAGAAAAGGCCAACAATGCACAGCTTCCACCCCACAAACTGAATTCTGAATCACACAGAACAAACAGATGTGATGCAAACAGTCAAGCACACACAGACACATGATCATTTCCATCTTAAAGCACACATTTTCATCATCGCTTCCCCACAACAATGACCTCTTGAGTAACAGATAACCTTCCCCTTCGCACAGACAACTTCAGAAGGCATCAATTTGGCGTTTAGGCGTCGACAGTAACAGCATCAACAGCAGAGACGAGGAAAAACAAAAGAGAGGAAGCAGAGCGACGCACGAAACAGTCAAAGGCTTCGACATGTTGATGGACAAAAGCATGAGAGTTTGCTCCTTTTTCACAGACACAAACTTATAGAGGAAAAAAAAAAGTTTTTCAGAATTAGTCCTTTGCTGTAAAAAAAAAAAAAGGGTTCATTAAGCCCATCACTTATGAAATGTGATAAAGTAGATTACAATGCAGGCATGGCGGCTGACGGTGATAAAATCTGAAGCAGCAGCCGAGACGTCAGTCAAACCGCTCAAACCAGAACTTCTCATCACCGCCTCCAAATTCACAATTTCCACCGGCAGAGGACCATCACCTCATCATTTCCTCTTTCCGGATATGATCGTCTTTTTCTCGAAAGATAGAAAGAAAAAGATAGCAGAGAGAGAGAGAGAGAGAGAGAGAGAAAATGGCATATTAATAGTATCAATAGAGTTTTAATGACTTGTGACACGTTAAAAAACCTCCAGGTTACATCGTAGGCTGAAAAAAAGACCTTGAGAGTTGATTATGTTCCACCGTGTCCGATTCAAAGCTGTGTCCTCCTGTGAAACATATCCTGACAGCTCACTTCTGATGTTTACGCCCCAAATGTGTTCAGCAAATTTTTTAGGATTATGAAAGTACCTAAAACCATTACTGTAGAGACAGAGTGAAAAAAAAAGCAACGTTTCCAGAAACATGTTCTCCGTTTGGGCCACGAGGGGTTAAAATCATAACTGAGCTGCCAGCATACATCAGACCGCTGCCTTCAGTTCCTCCACTTGATTTCAAACGCTCTCCCACGGCGTGCAGGAGAAAACGTCTCACGTCTCCAGTAGATCCAAAACCTCCGACCAGTCACTTCCTGTTTCCAAAGCTTTAGTTCATAAAAAAAGAGAACAAGAAGAGAGTTCTCAGGTGTTCGCGGCGGCCGATGAACCGTTCTGAGTCTTCTGCTGTAAATGCAGGCACAATACACATTCATTAATTGAAAGGAGAGGGTTCGATTGAGTAATTAGATCCAGACAGGTGACTCCCTGACGAAACTGATAAATCGTCCGTTATGTCGAGATAAGAGGATGTCTCTGATATGCACACCATCTGAAACCGTTCCTCACTGCATGTCCTTGTGTTACGTTGCTTCCAGTGGAAATCCTCACTGGTCAGGAAGTTCATTATCTGATGGCCTTTGTGAGGTTTGTTACCAACAAGCAGCTGCCTCGTCATCTTTCTGTCACCTCGCATCCTCGTGAACGGCCCTAAAGTCTGAAGACGTGACAACAAATCCCTCTGGACGCAACACTTCCAAAGACAGGCTGTTAAAACTTCCACAATGTTATTGTCTCATATCTGAATCACCGAACGCTTCCTGTCGATGCGCCGCTGGACGGCCTCCAGTTCACCAACGATCGTTCGTGGAATGACTCCAGGTTTGATGCCAACCGTCGGTCAGACGTTCCAACTTTGGTCCACGAGTTCTTCCCTCTGAGGTGGCTGACGGGTTCAGTAAACGTAGGTGTGATACCTGCAGCTGGCTGCTTGAAGAAGTTGGAAAGAGCCTGAGTCCTAAAAGAGAGAAATACCACGCTGCAGTTTAAAGAAAAACAAAGGAGAGGGGGAAAGAGGCAGGAAGAGACGCCGCCATGTGTTGGAGTCTAGTTTGTCCTCTTCCATCCATCCAGATGTTTGGGTCACACTGTCCTTCCTTCCTTGAAGTTCTCTTCTTCACATCTTTCCCTCTCTCTCTCTCTACCAGCCCACGTCCTTCCCTCTCTAGCCTTTAATGGGCCGAGGCGGCGGCTTGCCGATCTCCACCGAGATGTTCGTGTACAGAGGATACTTCTTGACCTGCACCAGCCTGTAGGTCAGAGAGCTGATGCCGTCCTTCTTCATCGTGTTCTTTGTGTTCTGGATTTTGTTGAACCTGGTGGGGAGGAGAAAGAATTCAAGTCAGTGCCAGCAGGGAGAAGAAAATCTTGATTTTTACATTAAACTCTTTGCTTCTGCTTGAGTGGGTGTGTGTGTGTTTATGTGTGTGTTGAATATTACGCTTCAGGAAAGGCAGATAATTACAGGGATGCACTGTGGACGAGGAAACATAAATCACGTTGGGGGTCTTTTTTTATTTGCTCTGAAGAGGATCAGCAGTCGCACAACATAAAGCTTAAAGGTCCTGTACAACTATTTATGACAAAATCATTCAGTTTTCTGCCACTCAGCCTTCACCGGGGCAAATATTAAAAAAGAAAGAAAGAAAGAAAGAAAGAAAGAAAGAAAGAAAGAAAGAAAGAAAGAAAAAAAGAAAGAAAGAAAGAAAGAAAGAAAGAAAGAAAGAAAGAAAGAAAGAAAGAAAAGGGAATCCTGGAACCTTCAACAACTACATTTTGACCAGTTTGATCAAAGACTGATTTTCTGTTTCTTTGCTTTACTGTCCTGAATAAAAAGATGCACAAATATGACTTTATGTTCTTTCCTAAAATGCATCCTACAAGGTTGTGAGCTGCTGTGATGGAGCACACCTGCTGTGTTGTGCAGGTACACAATTCAAATGCAATGCACAAACGGAGTTTCCAGAGTTCGAGGCACTGCAGCAGCACAAAACATCTCAACAGCCAAAAGAGACAAAACAGGAAACAGAGATGGTAACTAATGTCAGGAAAATAAGAACAGTGGGGACACATATCAGAAGTTCTGAGAGAAAAGAAGAAGAAAAGCTGCTGTAAAGTGCTGAACGTCCATCCACAGCATAGAAAACATCCACATTAAACCTGTGGGACATAAAGACGCTGGTGCTGATTAAAGCTCCGTGACAGCAGACAGAAGAAAGCCTCCTGTTTGATTGTTAAACACGAACCCCCACCAGGTTCCCTTCACCGTGCTGACCAACAGGTGGCGCTGCAGCACCACACTGGGACTCGTCTGTAACACCCGCCTAGGTTGGACTGAACTGCGCTGCTGTATCCTTCCCCACTGGCTGTGATTCAGCAGTTACATCAGAATCTGCTCTGATTTAAGCATTAAAGATGGAACGATAATTCACACAGTGTGTCAGACAGCCACAGCTGTGCAGCTGCAGTTCAGGGTGTGATGCAACCTCTGCCTTCAGACCGATTCATAAAACAAAGCCTCCTGTCGGCCTGGTAGCAGCAGCAGCAGCGGCGCTTCCTGCAGGCGGCGGCGGCGTGAGGCGAGGCCACAGCCAGCGTCTCGTGTCTAACAGCGTGTTTACACCACGCTCGTCTCAGAACGCCTCTTTTCGCCTGCGAGCAGAGAAAACGCTGACATGTGCGAACACCCAGCCGTGCACACTGACTGCTCACAAGACGGCAGTGACTGACTCCAACAAAAGATGTCTTCTTAATGATATGCTTGGACGTTGGAGTGGAGTTGACACTTCAGTCCGACATGGACCAGCGAGTCTGCAGATCCTTGTCAGAGCTGACTAGTGAAGATCTCTCTCCTCTCCCTGCGTCTCCTTCTGTCTCTCTCAAATCAAATCAAAAAGGGCGTCGTCATTGGCATGAATGGAAGCTGGAAAAAACCTTGTCAGGCGTCTTTCCGTTGAACAATATCACACAGTGAGATATAAACAGAACGCTGCGTTCTCTGACTTCTGCAGAAGACTGACGGTTTGATGTGGAAGGACGGGAATTGGTTTAAGAGATGGCGTGCAGAGAGGGGATGGTCGGGAGAGGAAGAGCAGTGTTTAAAGTCAAATGAGTGACGGGGAAGAAAAATGAAGGATAGATGGGCAGAGAGATAATAACATATCTGAGGGAGACAGACACAGGCTGATATACTGATATTAAAAATGAAGTCAATGACAACTGGAGCAAAGAGCAGTCGTTGGACGAATCCATCAAACAGCAGAGATTAGACTCCATAAATTAATCCCTGCACATGAGAGAATATCAGATCCATGTACACCCCGTCTGCAGGCTGCTACTCTCACTTATATTCATATTTTAGAGGACAAGACAAAGGCAGGCCTCCTTACATATTCATTAGCCTGATTTCCAGCCGTTCTAAATGGGCTAAGTAAAGCTCTATTTTAATTCCACTGAGGGTCTCACAGGAAAACATTTCTGGTTTAGGAGCTCAACAATAGCTTGTCATTTTAGTTATTTTGCTCCAGTGTCATATCGTCAGTCGGCCCACTTGACCTCGTTGGAGGGAAACGTCTGAAAGGAGCAGTTTGACGGAATATTGATGCCGCTCTCGTGCCTGTAAACGTGAAGCTACCGGTTAGCCTCGCTTAGCACCAAGACTGGGATCAGAGGGAAACGGATAAGCTGCCGACAAGCATCTCTAAAGATCTGTCCATCGTGTTTACACAAACCCCAGTGCAAGTAAATGATAGTTTGAACATCCATCCATCATCTCTACACCTTAATCCTCACCAGGGTCATGGGGGGCGGAGTCTATCCCAGCTGACTCAGGGTGAAGGCAGGTTCACCTGGACAGGTAACCAGTCTATCACAGGGCTACACTTAGAGACAGACAACCAAG